AGCTAAAGACAGAATCAGCAAATGGAAGGCCCATATTCTCCGTTCGATAAATCAGGAAAATGCAAAGAAGGAAATACTGGAAAGCCTGGACGAAACATCAGTGTTAATTGTTATTGACTGGGCCATGAAGTTTCAGCAGATACGTTTTCGAGAAAAACAATCTGACTGGTATGGCAAACGTGGGCTATGTTGGCATGTAAGCAGCGTCGTATCGAAGGGCGTATCCTCGGACACTGCAGTGGTTACATCATATGTTCATTTATTCGATTCCACCACTCAAGACTGGTTTGCCGTTGCATCAATTCTCGAAAACCTGCTATCAACTATCAAGTCCAGCATGGCAAATATCAGCAAAGCTTACATTCGTTCTGATGAGGCAGGATGTTACCACAACAACCTTCTGGTAGCATCTTTGAAAGATATTGGAGATCGCGTTGGAATTTGTGTCCAAAGCTATGATTTCTCAGAACCTCAACAAGGTAAGGATATTTGTGATAGGATCATCTGCCCCCTGAAGTCATCAATTCGCCGATACTGAAATGAAGGAAATGATATCCTTACAGCTCAAGACATGCATACTGCACTGAATTGCCGTCCAGTTAAAGGAACAACATCATCAGTCAATGAAGTCAAAGCCTCTGCTGAGCAGCTCAGTGTAAAGAAAATTAAGGACTTCAGCAGTTATCACAATTTCCAGTATGAAGAAGCAGGGATAAGGGTGTGGAAAGCACATGGCATTGGAAAGGGAAAGAAACTATTGGATAAAGATATCTACATTAGCCGACAAAAGAGTACAGAATTGCAAGTGTCAGTCAACTTTCCCGCTGTACAGCAGACTAGGCAAACGAAACTGAAAAGAAATGAAAACCATGATGATAATTCAAACGCAGACAATGCTGGTTTGTTTGATTGTGCTGAGCCTGGTTGCAACCACGTGTTTGAAACAATTCAGAGCTTAGAGCTTCACATGGACCTGGGCCAGCATAGTCGCTTTATCAACAGCGAGAGCGTGTATGATGCGTTAAAAAGAGAGTGGGCAAAACAATTCACAACGTTAAGCTCAAGAAATGTCCAGGGCCAGGGACCGAAACAACATCAAACTTTAGAATGCAGAGAATCCTCTTCAAGGATGGGATGGGCTCTCAGTAAACCGAAAACTGGCTCTGCGCGTTTTTCTCCAGATGTCTGCAAGTATTTGACTGCGAAATTTGATTATGGTGAGCGAACAGGTCATAAATCAGACCCAGCGCAGGTGGCTAAAGATATGAGATGTGCAAAGGATGAAGGGGGAGAAAAATTATTCAAGGCAGCCGAGTGGCTCAACAAAGAGCAGATCAAAGGTTTTTTCTCGACGCTGGCTAAAAAGCGACGCAAAGGTGTGAGAAGCACAGATATTGAGGAAGAAATTGAGGTTGATAACTATGAAAGCGATACTGACGATGCAGAAGAAAATGAAAAACGAGCGTATTTGCTGAATTTGATCAGTAATGAATTGAACGTGGCCCACCCGATCTACTACAATGCGTACGACTTGTGTGAATTGCACAAACAAGACAAACTTTCGGGATTTAAGGTTCCGATGCTAAAGGAAATTTGCTCACATTTTGAGCTCGGATTCAAGTCGAAAGACAAAAAGCAAGATCTAATCAATACTATCTCAAACATGTTGGATAAATACCCATGTTGTAGCCTGTCATTATGTACATAAAACCACAAGAATTATCACAAGACTGCAGCCGATTTAATATTGGTAGAGATGTTTATTTCTGGCAAAAACATCAGTGAAGAGTTTTACGCACATTAAGGTCCAAACAAACAGAACGCGATTCGACAAGGCGACGCGATTTTTCGATTTTCACGGACCGATAACTTTGGTTCTAGTTTAATTTTAAATTTTCCAAATATTTAGAAACGGTATAACATTTTGAGTTATTTGCTCTACATATATTTCGAAATTTGCTCTCATTGGCTGTTTTATTAACTTTCAAAAACTAAAAAATCGCATCGCGTTGTGGAGTCGCGTCCGGTGTGTTTAGTTATTAAATATTAACTTTTATTTAATAACGTTTGTTTGTCGCCGCAAGCAGGCATGAGCTATTAACTTCAACTCAAATCAGTTCAAGTTTACTGGATTAAACGAGCCTAGAAGAAGCAGGATCACTTCTAACACATAAGAACAACATTAATTGTTCGTTTTTGACTATAAATTACAAGTTTGTAAGCTACAATGTGACTTGTAACTGCCTTGCTGTATTAAACATCAAAGGGACTTCCACACATGAACAGGTAAACAAACCAATTAAAAATAGCTTGTATTATAGCGTTTTGTTCTCATTCAATTTTCTTTTGCCGGCAAGTTTTATTGTCGATCATTTAACTTCAAAGAGTGCTTTTTCACTCTAAATGTATTTCAAAGTCCAGATAGGTGCCACTTTCGAAAAATTTTCGATTATAATTACGAACTATGCGGCGAAGGATTAAACGACAAATTACTACGTTCGGTAAAGAAGAAGAAATATACTTAAAATTATTGTTGACTCGTACATTGATACAAGGTTTTCAATAGAGAATAGTTCTGGTTTATATATCTGAAGAAATTGTTGAATTTGATGCAAAACGTCCCGAGATATGACGAGAGATTTACCGGGGATTTATGGGCGGCGCTTCGTTTCGAATCCCGCTCACGCCGGCATGGATGTTATAATAAGCTAAAACTCGAAAATAAAATAGAATTTTAAAATTCTAAAACCGGCAAAAATGTTGCTAAGGAAAACACAACACGTGGGCAAAATAGAAGCGAAAATCATTTTTTTGCTTGAAAGCCACTGGTCGGTTCTTAGAGAGACAGCCTCTTAATAGTTAATCATACATAAGCTCATCCAGCTCTCGTAGTCGACACGCGCTTTAACCATATATGATTGGTTGAAGCCAAATTGGCGCTCGTTGTGAAATCTTTGAATAATTTTCTTAATTTGTATTTGCTTACGCCCTCATTTTCAAGAAAGGAGTGGGGAGAATTAAATGTCCTATGAAATAATTCAAATTAAGCTGCAAATGACATTTTTCGCCAGAAACTTCAATTCCAAAAGCTTAAACCTGATCCGCTTTTATTTATGTTCAATTCCCAAAGCAAAAACATGAATTACATCGTGTAAATGAAAAGTCATCTGGTAACATTTTATATTCCAAATATTGCACAAGCTTAAACGTGCCAAAAACGAATTCACATTTCGTCACACACCCCAAAACGTTTCTAACTAAAACTTTTGGACTGATCCAAAACCTGTTGTGTACTGAAGTACATGACTGTCAGGTATTGTTGTTTAGTTTTAGCTATTAAGCCTTGCTCAAGTAAAGTGTATTGTGCAGAAAAAATGAACAAATCTTATCCAGACATGTAATTTTTGGCCTACTTACATGGCGATCATCATGGGCCATAATCTTCAATCAATCAACATTTTGAAAAGCTTGACATCTCTGGAAAATAATTTTCAGCAATACATCTAATGGTTCTAAATAATAACTTAGAACATATACATTACACCCGTTTTCAAAATTACGCGACCAAGGACGAAAATACTAGAGTTGACATGTCAGTTTTATGTCATCGGTCACGAAGTTCAAACTTTGAGTTTTGCGGTTCCTTGTCGATGTATTTGCTTTGTATGCTTTATATAAACAGGCTTACAATGATTTTCAAGAAATTTTAGTGAGAATTATTGCAAAATTTAAGCACGACAAAATCATAACATCACCGTTATAGTCTAGCGCGCGTGTCTTTTTAAATGTCTTTTGACAGTTTGTTTACGTTTGCTATTTTTAGCAGTTCTTGTGACATAAATCTGACATTTGAAGTAAGAGTATTTTTCAGGGAGGTCGCGTAATTTTGAAAACGGGTGTAATTAAGAGTATACATTTCATTTCATATGTGTTCTGATGTTATATACATTCCGTTTCAGCTTTACTAGATCAAAAATCCGCTGATAAACAGGCGCAAAGCAGAGGTAAATTCATATATATATATATATATAGAGAGAGAGAGAGAGAGAGAGAGAGAGAGAGAGAGAGAGAGAGAGAGAGAGAGAGAGAGAGAGAGAGAGAGAGAGAGAGAGAGAGAGAGAGAGAGACAGAGAGAGAGAGAGAGAGAGAGAGAGAGAGAGAGAGAGAGAGAGAGAGAGAGAGAGAGAGAGAGAGAGAGAGAGAGAGAGAGAGAGAGAGAGAGAGAGAGAGAGAGAGAGAGAGAGAGGGAGAGAGAGAGAGAGAGAGAGAGAGAGAGAGAGAGAGAGAGAGAGAGAGAGAGAGAGAGAGAGAGAGATGGCCCAAGAACTGTTCCTTGTGGCACACCTCCGTTTAAAGTTTGCCAATTTGATACACAGCGTTGTTTGCGTTCGAAAAGGAAACTTCTAATCCAGTTTGTAATTGTCGCTGGTTCCTTCATTTCATATACTTGTACAGTAGGATGTTGTAGCCTATAAGATCGAAAGCTTTCGAAAAATCGAGCAGAAAAACACTTACAGCGGTTTTTGATCTATCAGTTTCATATAACAGGTGATGAACGAAGCTTAATAGGGCATGAGTTGTCGAGGAGGTTTTTAAGGAGCCAAATTGTCGACTATCAATCTTTTCCTTTATATACTCAAGTAGCCAATCGGTAACAGACTGTTCACAGGTTTTAGACAGGGTAGGTGTAAGCGAAGTGGGGCGAATATCTTTGGTGATGTCCTCAGGCGAAGCTATTTTTGGAATTGGGATGACATTGGCTTTTTTCCACATGGTCGAAACAGTCGCTTGTTGGATGGAAGCATTAAAAATTGATGCAACAGGGGAAGCAAGTACATAAGCGTAGAACTTCAGAACCCAGTTTGGTACTCCATCTGGACCAGGATATTTAGCAGTTAATATAATGGATAATTTATGGTATACCTCTTCTTCTTTAATGATAAACTCTGGTGAAATGTCATAATGGCTGTTTTCTGGTAATATGTCGATATGAAGACGATTTAAAGGAGGGATTTCTTTTGAGTTTCTTACTTTCTCTGTTTACCTGATTTCGTAACTGCTGATAATGTGGACTTTTTCCATGATGGAATGCCTTTTGTCTGGTTCCGATAATTTTCTTAAATTCAGGCGTTACCCAAGGTTTGTCATTATCGTGTAATTTTACAGTTTTTATCGGAAGGAAACAATCCAATCCGGCATTTATGATGTCTTGGAAGAGGTCTAATTTTTGTTTACAAGAAATAGTGCGGTATAAAATGGTCCAATTAAAATCGGTTAACCACTTTCCAAAAGCAGTTTTTGCACCATTATTTCCCTGTCTGATTTTACTTTCGTATGGGCGTTTTTAGCTGAACCTTCCTTATATGAGCATAACACTGAATTGTGGTCGTTGCGCCTAACGGGTGGGATTACCAAGGGGATGTTACAAAAGTCTGACATGTTTGTCAAAATTAAATCCAAAACAGCATTCCCTCTCGTAGGTTGTTTAACAATCTGTTTTAAAGTAAAATGTCTGAGTATTGTGGAAACTGGACATTTGTTAAAATCCCCAACTAATATTATGCCAGCATTTGGGTACATGGAGAGGGCAACATCAAGCTTTATGGTAAGGTGCTCGATCAGTGTGTTGTTGTCGCTGGATGGTGGGTGGTAAACCACACAGACAACCAAACATGAGAGTCCTCGTAACAGTTTGTGGGGTCTCAGGTAAAGCCACAGAGTTTCGAAACAAACATCTTGCAAACAAGTTAGAATTTTAAAGGGGATCTGTGACTTTATATAAGCACACACCCCTAATCCAGTCCTAGATTTTCTATCACGACGTATCAAGGTGTAGCCATGTATTTGAACTGCAGCGTCGTCAATGTTTTCGTTTAGCCATGTTTCTGTGATAAAAGCCAAACTGGCATGATTTAATTTAAGAACAGCATCTAATTAATCAACTTTCGGCAGGAGTGATCTGACATTTGAAAGGAAAAATGATAATGGGTATCTTTGGGCATTTGGGCAATCTAGTCTCCAATTTTTATGGTTCAATATAGGAATTTTTATCAAATTTTACGTGGTTACGAACCTTTCGTTTGTGTATGCAGGGGTACTGTTTAAACGATTATGTAAGTTAATTTGCCGACTAGTTGTCCAAACTGGGATATTATTTGTTCTAGGTATTTGATCAGCTACGGGGTCAGTATATGAAATGCTTTGTCGGTCGTAATGCTCTATGGATGCGTGGGGCGCGTCAAACGATTGACCAGATTTTCTTGTCCGATGGGTGGTAATTGTGGTAAAAGGAAGGGAAACTCCATCAATGGTCGGGGGTAAGGGGGGTGCTTGGGGCGTCGTATGATTTGACAAGCATTCGGTTGAATTGGGAATAAAAAAGGACGATAGTGTTGGTTTCGATTTAAACTTGGATGCAGAAAATCACAATTGCGCTGGTTTCGTTCAAGGTTTGGGTGAAGGAAATCGCAATTTTCGCCTTTGAGACACCAACCCCTTCGTGATAGGAAAGGACAAGGAACGGTATTTTTGGTTGGTTGGTCGGCATGATGTTCCCGCGCTTTAGAATGTGTTTCTACATTTATGGTTGGAATTGGGTGAAGGAAGTCGCAATTTTCGCCTTTGAGACACCAACCCCTTCGTGACAGGAAGGGACAGGGAATGGTATTTTTGGTAGGTTGGTTGACTTGATTTTCCCGTGCTTTAGAATGTGATTCTACATTTATAGCTGAATCTGTTGTGCTAGTTATTTTTTCAAGACAATCACTTTTTTCACTTGAGTGATTTTTGTAGTTTCCGTTGCGTAACATATGTATGACCGTTCATATGACCGTTGCGTAACATATAAATTTCTTTCTTGCAATATTCAAGTTGTTTACTAAAATCGTCAAATTCAGCATTTATTTTGTTAAGGCGGTTATCAACATTATTTATAATATCTTTGTTTATGAGAATATCCCTTTCTGCAATTGTTATGTCGAGTTTAGCGCCTTCAAGTTCGGCAGACAAGATTTGTGTTGTGAGAGGGGAGACGCCATTTTCGTCCCGTGTAGTTGTAGCTACAGCTTCGTTTGTCACTATGTTAGTCTGTACGCTACATATCAATGAGCATAACTTTGCTATTATTTGTTTCTTCTCTTTACCTTCAATTTGTAGAATTTTCTTACTTTTTCGCCATGATATAGATGTAGTACCATCGCTATATACTTTTTTGTCTCCTCCCGGCGAAATCCAATTGCCGTCGTTTAATTTGATATTTTCGTTCACGAAATGTTTTAGTTGTTCAATATTTGCAGTCCAGCACAACTGGAGTTCACTCATCATATTTATGAAGAATTATAGCAAGATATTATAAAATTTTTGTCATAAAATTGGAATTTTACGGAGCTGGTGCAAACCGTGCTTGCTCCAGCATAGCATCACCTCATAGATATCAGTAATTATCTTAAAAAAGTACCATTATATGCATGCTGTATGTCCCAAATTTCAAAGCTCACAAAGAAATCTTCAGCTGACATAATATGGTCACATTTTGAAACAACTGACTCAATGCAAACTGTGATTGCCAGATTACCAAATAATCCAAAAATCTTGGACCTGGCATTTTTTAGCAATGGCATACTGGGGGAGGGGGGAGAGACTCAAAATTAAAACATATTTTACAAATAGAAGTTTTTATCAAAGTCAGCCGTTTAAAAGGATTTTTATTGGACCTGGTTAAATTTTAACCCATTCAGTCGCATTGCATCATACAGTACTTTATTATTTTCCTGTACCTAACACCAGACGATTTTACTCGTCAACGGGAGAGTGCTGGCACTTAATTGGTTAACTGGCCTAACTGCCCATGTGTCCAGTTAGCCCATTGAGACGCATTGTGCCATGATGCGCGTCCTACTTTATTATTTTACTCTGCCTAACGCAAGACGATTTTACACGTCAAGGGGAGAACGCTGGCGCGTAATTGGTTAAACAATATATTTGACCTGGGTATGATTTATTAAATTTTGATATCATAAGTGATATTTTGAAGTGGAAAGTCATTCAATTACTGGTTAATATCGAAGAATTTGAACTTATGATCCGCCATGGAAATGTATAAATCTATATACTATACGATGGATAAAATGTAAAATTATGTAACAATTCTCATACTGTATATTAGCCTCCTCCGCAGGCATCTCACCTGAGGAATCGGGTGGTGGGAAAAATTATGGTGAGATGCCGGCTCGCGCACGCAAATTTTGACAAACTCTAACTTAGGGGAGTAGGAAGGGCTTACGGCAAGGAGTGAAGAAATTTTTGTTTTCAACACGATGGCAAAAACAAGTAAAACTGTAAAGTTAACGAATAATCCTGCTCTTTAACATTGTAAATATACACAGGGAACTTTGACTAAGGAGCTGAGAACGTTATCGTGAGCCGAGGCAGCGATTTACTGGGATTGTTTAGAGACGTGTGACTTTCCAGAGCAGTGAATTCACGTTGTCGTCGATTCATGTCAAGAAAGGGGTCTCAATTGAAAGTTTATCGTTGATATACACTGTATATAAATTTCTTCGATATTAACCAATAATTTAATGACTTTCCACTTCAAAATATCACTTATTTCTCTTATGATATCAAAATTTGATAAATCGTACCATTATCAAATATATTATTTAAAATTTAAACGACAGTTGCAACAAAAATCTTTTAAACAGCTGACTTTGATAAAAAACTGATATTTGTGAAATATTTGCATTATCGCTAATAGACACCCAT